TAAATGTTAAAAATGTAATTTACCACAAAGAATAAGCGGAAATATGTTAGATAACTTCCATGTGCTGTCCTACATCATGAGGCAGTAAACATATTTTTGCTTTAAAAGTACAGTAGCTCACCATCCAAGCATTTTCATCCTATCATTAATTCTCTGTGCCTTGATATGCAATGCCAGTCTTAGGACCATTTGATGATGAAACATTATAATTGACCTGTTCTCTTTCAATTTTACAGTGATGTTACATACAAGCACTGCAAAACGTTTACATTTTACTGGTGTTTTAATGAAAAAATATTATTTCAAATAAATTTAACCCTTCGCTGAAACTGGGTCATTGTAGAGTGCTTCAAAACATGACCGGCTTCTAACAGTGACTAGCAATGTTGTGGCATGTACAGTATGCATTACAATAACTACATTTTCTGATCAATATTTCTGGAACAGCAATGTTAATGCCTATTATTCACTGCAGTCAGAGAACCAAGCCTTTTCTCAACATGTGTTTGTGGGGGTTTTGACAATCTATACCAACCTGATGATTCACAGTAGTATATGGCAGTAGCTTTACAACTGCAAATACAAATAACATAATAGGATTTCAAGGTTACCTACTGTCAGTCTGGCATAGATTCTATCTTTTCCTATAATCGTTTTGAAAAGCATTTGAATTTTAATTGTCATTGTGAATCAAGAAAGCAACAGTCTGAACAGTACTCGGTTCACTTTAATAGATACAAAAGAAACCCTTTGACATATGGCAGTTGCCAAATCTACATCAAAGTGGGTGACAGATTAACAAAATAAACAACTGTCTTCCTCTGACAGGACCAATTATAATCCAGTTTCATTCAGACAATTAAAGGCTATTTCCTATGGCAAATTTCTTATGGCAAAATAAGCAATTATTTATGTTAAGATAGAATAGAACAGAAGTCTATCTAGAATTAGTTGTGCAAAGATATTGTTATGCACAGATATTGAAAACTAGTTGAAAAGTTGTTTTTCAGAACAGTATACACAGTGCGACGGATCAAGACTGAATGGTAAATACCGTGCAGACTGAAAGCAGCTTATGTTCATGTGATAAATTCCTACTTAAGTTCCAACACAACACCCATGAAAAGCCTTTTTTGTTAAGTTTACGACATGTCGGATTCTAATTTTTCCATAATCTGATTAGTTTCTGTCTACCTTCTACTGAGCACTGCAGACCTTTAAGTCTGCTCTCTACAGTTTATACTGTTATACTATTTTCCCAGACTGTTACCCTCTTCTGCACATACTTCTAAATATCACCACATGACCTGCTGCTCTCAGAAAGGATCTTTTATTCTGTAACTTTTTCTTCTGCTTAGCTCTACCATGAAAGAGTTGTGGGAGGTCATCTTAAAGGTAAGTGACTTACAACAGAATTTTCTAGATGGACTTTGGGGAAAAAATGAAAGGGGGCTTGTGTCAGTGCCTATGTGAAATAAACACAGATTTGCACTGAAAATTATAAAAATATATATATTAACAACCTCATCTACAGCAGACACATCGACTAAAGTAGTTTTCTTAATCAAGTATTTACAGTAAATATAAACAGACAAACGTAATTAAAGGTACCATAACCCATATTTGTGTTTTATTTATTAATAGTACATAATTATAAGTAATTGATAGGCTGTATTATTAGACATTCACATCAATGCAATGTGCACATAACATGTAAAGACTTACAGTACTGTATAAAAACAGTCTATCAAACTACAGCATAAACTGCTATATTCCTGTCAAAAAGAATAGTCTAGATGGTAAAAAAAAACACATTTCATTAAATTGGCATATAAGCAGTTTTAAAAAAAACAGTATAGTGTTTAAAAGTATATAAAGGTAATCTTTAAGATTTCAATCAAGTCTCTGCGTAGCTGGGGGGTATTGAGGAAGCACCAGCTACAGTATACTGTATACTGTACAGTACAGCAGAAGCTGAACAAGGATTACAGCGATCAGAGGGGATACTGCATCTTTTATTGACACTCCTGGTTTCATCCTGACTTACCTGCTGAGCCTGCTGTAAAAGCTCCGTGCGCTCTTGCAAGATCTGACTGTCAAACTCTCGGCTCTGTCTCAGAATCTGTCTCCTCAGTTTTTCCACCGCTATTCTCAGCTCCTCCTTTTGCCTCTCTGTCAAAGATTCACCCACTCTGTGGCCTGGGTCTTGCTGCAGAGCATTATAGAGTGTGGCTTCCAACTCCTGGATTTTCTAGGATAATTTAAATTACATAGAAACGTTCACATTGCGGCGGAAATAAAAGGGGGAAAAAGTAATAGAGTTGAAGATTACCGGTATACGTATCCCTCATCTCTATTACACACAGCAATAACAAGTGCACTGAAACAAGGAAACAAAATGAAAAAACAAAAAGCGTAAACTACATTAAGTATACTTAATAATGGAAAAAATAGCACTGTGCTGTACAGTACCTTACTTGTTTTAATACAATTGTGATCGTTGACTTTAACAAAATAAAGTGGAACAATTTGACCGTGGTATTTTAATTACGTGAAATGCTGACGCTGCGGAGTCCAAAAAAAAAAACATGCAGTACTGCCCCCTTGTACAGTACGCCGCGCTCCCAAACTCCTGAGCTCTGTCTCTAACTCACACCCACTGCCGTTGTGTTGCCCTTGGTAACCGAAGACAAACTACAGCAAGTCTTACTTTGACATTTGTTAAATTTTTGCCGATGACCAAAGGTTGGGATAATCATTCATCAGAAATGCCTGTGGTTTCCTTTTAATACATTTTAAATGAAGCTTTTTTGATTAAAGATTACAAAGATTCATGACACGCTATAGGGACTGCTTGGAAATTTAATCGTCATACATCAAGCGTCCTCCCAGCTTATCAGTCAGGCCCATTATCGTAATACGAATTCCTATTGTTTAATATTCAGCAGTGCATAGAGGGACATTGTTGTAAAAGATGCAGTATCCCTTCAACACTAAAACTAGGTCACAAATGCAAACATGAGAATTTATATTTCATTGATAAAAAATGCATTTCTGCATACCCTACATTTGAACAGTTCCACCCCAGACATATTTTAGAAATAGTTAAACAACTGCACATTTTATGAAACATTTGTCCTGGCTAATATTCCAAATACGTCTTTGCAACTAAAATATAATGGCACTGAGCAATCAAGACCAGAAAAGTAAAGTACATTTTCAATCAATCAATCAATAATTTTACAAGTCTTATCCAGCATGCACTTTTACTATGGAGTTAAGCATGTTTTCTTACCATATAGGCCTGATCCAGGGCTTGTTTCCTGTAATCCAGCTCTTCCTCTAGATAACCCTTTTGTTTACTGAACAGCTCCTGACAGGGGATAAAAGAAAAAACAACTTTACTTGGAGCTACTGTACTTTACACAGTTACATGATGAATTGGAGAGCCGGCCTGCTTGATATTTTGATGACTACGTTGTGGCGGTGGCGTGCTGTGGAAAGATTCAACAATAACTGAAAAAATAATCTTTTTTTTATTGAAATGAAAACAGGAGGTAAGAATCAGAGGAGGACCCCAGTAATTTAGAAGGTAATGGGGGTGAGCTTCTCATTTAAGGAAGAACAACACAAAGTTGCATTTAAAATCTCTTTCCTGGGCTTCTAGTTTGGCTCGACCATTAAAGGGTCAGACATGAGCACAGGGTCGAGCCTGGGTCACCTCACTCGCCTTTACTAAGATTCCCTGAAGGTGGATTTCCTACTGAAAGTAAAACATTTATCAATGAAGTTAAAACAAATGTGGAAGGAATAATGTTAAGGTGAGCAAAACAACCACGGGTGTTGAATGGTCAAATTAAATACACAAAAAATGTGTTTCAGTTCTGTGATTGCTCAGTTACTCCGTCTTCTACAGTTTCTACCAATTTGTAGAGGAACCAAAGTACCCGCAAAAGTCAAACATTAACTTACTAATTGGTTAAATATTATTTTTGAAAGTTATTTTCACAGTGGAACAAATGTGTTTATAAGTTATGGCAGTAATAAGGCACGACTTGAGAAAGGTATAATTCCTACAGTTATAGGCAAAGTTAAAATAAAAATGTAACAGAGACTGCTAACAAGGTAGGGGTGGCATTCAGGCTTGCTGGTTTAATAACAAGCAGCTACAGTAGGTGATCCCAGAACTTTATCTAACCACTTCTCCTAATTTCCCATGAATTCACTTTATCAGGGTAGTTGGTTTAAGAGGCCCACTACACCTGAAATAAAATAAATGTGGTCCCATACAGTATATTCCTACTGTATATAGTATGCCACTAAAAAGATGCCAGTTGTTATAGTGAGCATGAGTATCACGGACATGCAAGGTCACTTACCTTTTCATTCTCCAGATCGATCATCTTCTGAGCCAGAGCTGCCTCTGTGCTGTCAATCTGTTTTAGCCACTGTAGAGGGTCAGACAAAGCAAGAACAAATAGCAGATAGCAACCGGGTAGTAAGGTGGGAGTCAAAATGAAGAAAGATCAGGAAAACATGAATACAAAATGTTACATCGCCTACTACTACTGTATGTACTGCAAAAGGATTTGTACTTATATCACTGAGACAGGAAATATGAAATATTCCTAGTTCATTGACCTATGAAATAAAGGACATACTGGAAATTGATTGCTAATGGAATGTATAATTTACCTTAAAAAACATTTTGTTTGTGTGTGTAATGAACATGCACTGATGGGGCAGCTGCAATGCAAAACAATATGGTGACAAATAAGTTCATCGATTTAGATTAAACTGTTCCAACACGAATCATATTCAGTAAGTATTTCTTGTCACCTTCAGGATAAAACAGGAAAGGTCTGAAGAACAAGCTTGACACCACTGCACGTTTTTGCAATGAAGATGAAGAGATTTCCTGCAGATTCTATAAAACTTTCATGATAAACATGAGTTTACAATCATAACTTAATAGTCACAGCAAAAAAGTCTTACATAAGCACACTTAGATAATCCAGATTGAGATTTTTTATTTCTTATGATGTTTGCAAAGACATACAGAGGAAAGGAAATGTTCTTTTAACTAATAGAGTTTGAATATTAATTGTGTTCACTCTATTTTCCTTCAGGTATACACATGATAATTACACAAGGGTAGTAACACATAGTGTAATTATACAACCAGGGATGATTTTACATATAAAAGTAAGGCATAAATGTAAACGCTGAATTTATTTTTGTTATACCTTAAGTACTTTAAATATGTCTGCAATAGTTTTCTCACTTTCCTTTCTATGTTATTAATAATCCATTATTGTTGTTAAAGTATTGAGAACTCTCTAATATGGAACTTACAATATGTGACATGTCATTATTATTAATCACTATTTCTGCTGGACCACTTACAGTAAACATCCTGATACACAACTAAAGCACAAAGATATAGATTTTACATCAGTACCTTGCTGGACACATACAGTACATGATTTAAATAGCAGATAGGTTTATTGATTATTATTATTGTACCTTGGCCTTTCAACAAAATACTGAGCTTGTCATGTGATTTCATAATGTCCAGTGCTCACTGTTGCTTATGCAACTTAAAACCCCTAAATTAAGTTACGAATATGTATAAATAACCACTCAAAAAGACATGATTTTTTTTGAATAAATGAAGAAACAGTAAGCCATGTAACTTTGTTCTACACAAGTAACAAAGAACACTGTGTTGTAATTGGCATGACTGAAGGTAGGCCATCAAAGAAAGAAGCCGCCCAAAGAATGGGGTGTTCTGCTTCAACCATCTTGAGACTATTCAAGAGCGAGCATGAACATGGCCACATGATGGACAGCAGAGGGTCACTCAGTTGTCCCAGGTGGAACATCAGAACCCTTTTGCAGAAATTGCTTTTAGATTGCAAATGCTTACAGCACATTAAATTCCACAGGAAGAAGTAACCTGCCTATCAGTGGAATGACTGTAACACCACACAATGCTAAGATTACAATGACAAAACTAAAGTAGAACAATGTCAAGGTCTTTATGTGCAACCAACTCCCCAAGGCCGTCAATAGGAGAGCCCTGGTACCAGCCAACCTCTGCCAGCTGACAGCAGGTACACAGGAAGAATGGCAGAACACGCCACAGCAAGCTGTCCAGAGGCCAACCAGGTCTGGGCATCAATCCTATCAGGGCTGTGCAAATGCCTAGTAAGATCCAACTCATACCCAATTCTAACTTAATGTTTTCATTGTAATAATGTGACATATTTCAGACTGAAAATCCATGATTCTGTGGTTATTTTTGCTCACACATCGGGTGAGTCAAATCATCAGTAATGTATTGTTAGTTTAAAGCAACAGGATAAAAAGTACAAGAATACATGATACTTGTAACAAAAAACATTACAAACATAAAAACAATATATCCCCACTTATAACTTACAAATGCCCATGCCATTTGACCAAAGGGTTGAAGCATGTACTGTAAGTCGGTTTTCACGTAGCTTTTCCTCAGAATTTGTAATCAGTAGCTGTCCTTTACTCCCAAAATGTGGAATCATCCCACTGGCTAAATGGCTAAAAGCCCTCACCCCAACAGGGGAAAAGACCTATACACGCCTTATTCTGAAATGCATACTACATGTAGGTAGTCATGTAGCACAGACCCACAGTTCATGTAGCAGAGTTAGCATTAGATACAACTCTGATGAGGCTCACAGGTATCCCATAAGATACAGGGGGTTACTGTTGGTGACAATCCAAAGATATCCAAGGTTGTGTGCAGAAATCTTGGTCAAAGTCATTGATAACATTGTCGAGGCCTGAAAGAGGTGAAATCTACTTTTAAATCTTCAATTCAACCCAGCTACTGTGGTTTTTAAATTGGCAAATCATGCAAATCAAGAAAGGGGTGATTAATGAGAATTTTCACAAATTTGTGTTTATTTTATGCCGCCAGGTGGCAGTAAAGAACAAGGGAACAGGACCATTGAGAAACACAAAATAGCATGTTTGTTGAAGTAGTTCAGGTGGGTAGCTGTGTCAGCATGCTTAGGCTGGAAAGGAACAAGTAATAGGTTTATTCCATGCTGAAAAGAGAAGAAAGAAAACACAATGTTTCAGCTGTGGAGCCTTCTTCGGTGTCATGGTGGTCCAGGTGTCAAGGTGTGGAGGCTTCTTTAGGTGACACCAGGACCACCATGACACCTGAAGAAGGCTCCACAGCTGAAACATTGTGTTTTCTTTCTTCTCTTTTCAGCATGGAATAAACCTTTACTTGTTCCTTTCCAGCCTACGCATGCTGATGCAGCTACCCACCTGAACTACTTGAAAACGCTTTCTTTCTTCTCTTTTCAGCATAGCATGTTTGTGGTATACTTATTTGTCTAATATTAGTATTAGTATAATATTTAGTTTGTTTTGGCAAACTTTATACAGATATAAAATGCAAGGAAAATGTTGTTACAAGCTAAAAGTTAAATATTTTAAATTTAAAGACGTATACAGTAGAGGTACTAAAACATTTTTTATCTATGTGTATATGGAGCGCTTTGCAAATGTATTCACCCCCTTCCATTGATGACCACTTTTCAGAATTACAAATGATATATACGTATTTTTAAATAGAATATTTTAGAAGTAAAATAAGTTAACCATCAGCAAAAATGGCATAAAATGTTAAAAATTGGATTTTCTGGGTGGGTGGCATGGTGATGCAGTGGTTAGCATAGCTGCATTGCAGTGCTGGGGCACTGAGGTTAGTTCTGGACCTGGGGTGCTATTTTTGTGGAGTTTGTATGCTCTTCCCGTGTTCTTGTTGGTTTTTGCCAGGTGCTCCAGTTTCCTCCCACAGTCTAAAAACATACAGAACTTGATTGGCTTCTGGGAAAACTGGCCCTGGTATAAGTGTTTGTGTCTGTGTGTGCCCTGCGATGGACTGATGTCCAGGGTATCCTGCCTTGCACCAGTTGCTTGCTGGGATAATAATAATTAATAATTGCTTACATTTATATAGTGCTTATCAGAACAATACACTCAAAGCGCTTGGATGCGCGGCAGCCATAGTGCGGCAGAAACCTCACCAAACACTAGCTATCAGTGGGGAGCAGAGCAGAGTAATGAAGCCAATTCATAGATGGGGATTATTAGGAGGCCATGAATAGGTTCTGGCTCCTCCACCACCCTTAATTGGATAAAGTAGGTAGCATGTGGATGGATGGGTCTGTTGAGTTTACACCAGATGCAATGCTTTGGATCAAGACCAAAACATTCAGTTTTTGTTGGCTCATTACTCTGTTACAAACTCAACACAGGATCCGAGATCTGACAGCTTTTTCAGTACATACTGTATGGGCCAGCTTTGTGGAGCAGCTGCGAATTTTGACTGGTGAATGTTTTCTACAATGGCAGTCCCTGAAATCTGTCGTCCTTCCTATGTTGCTGTTCTTCTCATGGTGGCATCCCTAACCGGTTTCCTCTTTGCCTAGCTGCAGTTTGGAGGGACAGTCTGATCGGGGCAGTGTCTGGGTGGCGTGTTATTGCGTCCTATTTTTAATGAGTGATTTTACCATGTTCAAGAAAATATCCAGTGTTTTGAAATGTTTATGCACTCCTCCTGAACCTTGCCTTTATACAATTTTTATCCCTGGGTGATGTTGAAAGTTCCTTGGTCTTTCCTGTTGGATTGTTTTACTTAAAATTCAGTGCCTGACTGAGGGAGAACTTATTCTAAAATCACGTAAACCACTACTATAGTGTAACAGGGCTCAATGCACCAAGCATGTTAAAACAGTGACACCAGCTTTCAAGGAAGCTACAGTATATAGTATAGAATTCTGCTGCGGAGCACAGTGCAATTCGTCACTGTCTACTGAGTGTTTCTTTATGGCCAACAAGTGAAGGTGACTGAATCCCAGCAGGGGCAGGTTAGAGCTGCACTCATCACTGGTGTCATGTACTGTAGATATCAGCAGTGGTGGATGACCTGGTCTTTTGGCACCTCTGTTCAGGGAGTAAAACAGAATGCACTCTGTTCCAGCATGCAACTGTGACCGACTCCCAGCACAGCAGAGCTACACACATTACAATTTCACACAAAGGCCATTTAAATGTCTGTGTGACCCGTGAAACCAATTCTGTGGGCCTGAAGTACAGTAATTTAGTGCTGCTGTAGCAAAGGGGGTAAATACATATGCAGTCAACATATTGTAGTTGATTTTTCTTTGCATTTTTGCAGATGTTTATCTCTTTTCCTTCTTTATGATGTTCAGTTATAGCATTTGAGACTTGGAACTCGAATAATCTTTTAGAAATATCTGTACCTCATTTGTAATTCAATAAAATGGACATCAGTGGAAGGAGTTGAATACTTATGCAAGTGGATCTTTTATCTCTGTATCATCAGAAAACTGCTTATTCCTGGTATGGGTCTTAGAAACCCAGAGCCTATCCCAAAATCATAGGGCACCAAGCAAAACTACTCTACACAGTTCTTTGGCAAGGATACCCATCCTTTGTAGGGAACAAAGATGTATACAGAGCGACAATTCAGAGACTCCAATTAACCTAGCTAGTATGTCTTTAAAAATGTGAGGAAACCAGAGTTATATTGCCTCTTATATTAACACCAAACACTTTAAGTACTTTCAAAGTGCCATATACAGTACCTGTACAGTAATATTGTTGTATGTTTAAGACATCACAGTCAAAATGAATAAAGAAACAAAAACATGCAGATGACATGGGTTAAATATTTTTATTGTACAAAGGCAAAGTAAACATTCAGAAACAAAAAAGAAAAATATTCCATGAATGAAGTATTTCAAAACACAACTGTACCTTTTCACAAAGTGACAGCACTGTGCCTGCTTGTATCACGGCAACCTGTTCCTCATTCCTCAGGTTCTGTAAAAAAATATTAGAGCAAAAGAACATTAGAGCAAAAGAACAGAACGCTATCACTTCCAACCAAAATTCTCAAGCAGAATGCTGCACTGTTTCAAGGACAATTCAAAACGCTGTAAGATGCTGCGCGCAATGCATCATCATTCAGGCTATCTGCTGAACCCTAAGTGTATAATGATAAAAATAAAGATAAAATTCAAATGGCTAATGAAAAAGTACTTACTCCATTATCTCCAAGAATATCAAGTTTCTTCATGAGATCAGGAATAACAACATCCTAGAAAACATGTTTTCATTTCAGAATTACATGCAACAACCTTTTTGCAGTTTGTGATGGGCAAGCATCAGTGGAAATTAACATCTTTGTGTCTAAAACTTTAAAACTTGGAATACATATGTAGAAGACCTTCTAACATTTTTGGTGATTACTGAAAAACGTGGGGTGGCAAGGTGACACAATAGTTATTCCAGACTCGGGGTGCTATCTGTGTGGAGTTCATACGGCCTCCCCATGTTTGTGTGGGTTTCATCTGGGTGCTCCTGTTTCCCCCCACAGGCCAAAGGCATACGTGGAAGATATCTGGCATCTGGAGAAACTGGTCCTGCTGTGTGAATGTGTCTGTCTGTGTGTCCCAAGATAGACTCTGCCCCCCATGACACCCCGAATTGGATGAAGCGGTTAGAAAATGAGTGGACATTGGAAAAACCGTGTCTTCTTTCACAGAAGGCCAATTAAACTTTACACCAGCACAAACACACTCACACTAGGGACAATTTTCCCATAAACCAATGAACCTACCAGTACCAGTACAGAATGTCTTTGGACTGTGGGAAGGACAAGGAGCACCCAGAGGAAAACCATGCAAACACAGGGAGAACATACAAAAATCCACATAGAGAGCACCCCAGAAATTGAACCAAGGACCCAAAAACTGCACCACCATGCTGATCAAGTAGAACGTAGTAAAAGGTCATTCACAGGTGGTGGAAAGAGGTGGTTTAGCAAAGGATCCATAGGCTTGAAAAGCAGCCCTACCTTGATGCCCTCCTGGTGGCAGTGCAGCTGCAGGGCACTACTGTTGTTCTCCGAGAAGGCTGCTATATGGAGATTAAAAGCTGGGGACCTGCGCTCTCGTTCCTGCCAACAAACCATTTAAAAATCATCATACTGTCCTTTAAAGCGATGAGCAAAATTAATGAGGGCAGCACAGATGCTTCTGAAGTAGTAAACCAAGATTCAATACAGTTAAATGAAAGGCATTGTCAGTGTAACAAATGCTATTGGTATCAATATTCATTTGTTGCATTTTTAGGCCCTCTGAGTATACAGCATACAGTATACTAACATTCATACACACTCCTGTCCTTGAAAATCTCTCTAAATAACTTTGCGATTTTGCTTTCCTTATTTACTTATCTATTTAGATACAGTATATACAGTATGACATTCTGTTGGAAAATGTCCTGTGATTTGCGTGAATGGAACTTTCAATACTGCCACCAGCAGTATCATTTTTTTTAAAGGTACCTTAATGACAATACCTTCTTTGATGGAAAAAAGGTAGTATAAGGAGATCTGCAAGGTAAGGAACAAAAACAGATCACATCTGTCTCTTAAAAATAGGAACTCTGTCACTACCCGTTACCACTGTCTACTGAGAGAAGACTACAGCATAATCCCAGCTGGTGGACAGGGAAAGGAGAGCTTTGTATCATTAATGAAAGGTAAGACGTGCTTCCTTTGTGAAGAGGAGGCTGCACTGCTTTGTGAAATAACCCGTGAGTGGAGGTAACATACAATATTTTGAGGTGCTGTAATGTCGATTCTTGGCTAGTAGATCAACATTTGTCATTTTGTCAAATATGCAGTATGAGTCCTACAAAGGAAAGCTGAACTTTATCCCTCCATAATTACACAGCAGTACGCTGCCAATAGTTGATAACCTGACAACCAGAATTAAGTTTCTTAAGAGACTTCAGAACCTGCTCAACCTTTTCTATGGATGCAAACAGAACCAGAATGTACTTACATGACTTTAAAAGCATGCGAGGGATCTGCTGAAATGAACCGGGTGAAAAAGCTCGGAAAGGGGTGGGATTCAAACCAACTGAATGGAGTAAAACATGTTAAATGAAGGAGAAACCAAATAACCAAAACTTGAACCAAAATGTTTTTTTTCTGAAAGAAAAGTTGTCCTGCTATGACGGCTGACATGAATTCCACTTACTGGCAGTCTGAATAACCTACTACTTTGAAAGCACAGTACATTCCATTAGCTCTCAACACAGTTTTATCTGAAGAGGCTGTCATGGGTCTGATGTTTCAGTTACATTCATATGAACTAGAACTGTCACTTACAAGGGCATTCAAAAGCTTTAAAATGGAAAGGAGAGAGCCTTGCAAATCTACATATAAATTAATCTCAATATTTTGGTTCACATAAAATAATAAAATTATATGCCTGTGTAACTATTCCCTTGTGGGAATGATTTTACTGCATTACTGCCATACAACAGAAACAAGATTAATGAATACATTGATTCTGATGTACTGTGGTCCATAGAATCTCACATTTCAATGTGAGATTGTTAGACCACCAAATATTATGCAAATTATTTGTAGTGTGGTAACTGCAGTGGAGTTCACGTAACAGTCATGCATTTAACTGTTTATACATGTAATTAAAACAGTTCATGCAGGGAAAGTGAAAAAAATGAACAGTGATGTACAGTAGTTACTTTCATAGAAAAAAAACATTTTATTAAAAGGAAAAAAATATGCTCAACATACATTAGAATTTACATTTTTCATTTAAAAAATAGCACTTATACATTACCCAACATTTAAACATACACTGTACATAAAGCACATTAAGGCAGCATTAAATAGCTTGAAACAAACAAAAGAAATTACAAGTCTTATGTGTGTTATCCTACACCTACAAACGTCAGTGTCTTATTAAATGTATGTTCTGCATTTTGGCTCAAAGACAATTTCTCCTCCTGCAGACAGTTTCGAGATGGAGTCTCTTACTTCAAGTTCTAGCACTCGGAACTCTAACAGCTCGTTCTGGTCCTTTACATCTTGCATCTCAGTCTTGAGACGGCTCTCGTTCAGCTCCAGTTTTGTGATCTGAAAAGGATTAAATGCAATAAAAAAACTGCACACACAGTGAAATGAAGAAGGGAATTAAAAAGGTTAAGTATCGTGTTTGAATCGTAGTACTACATGTTTTGTATATTTTCTCTACAGCAAAAGTTTATCTGCAAAAAGATTTAGAAGTTTGGATTTGTCCAGTCACAATCCTGTAGACCTTCAATGGATCTGTTAATTCAGATTCACATTTTCAAGTTTTCAAAGATTGTCTTCTCCCTGACTGCCAGTTTTGAAAATACTTTTTTGACTTAAGTGTCTGAACTCTCTTGTTCATGGCCTAAGGTAATATTACAGCTGAATGGCACAAGTAGAAAGATCTACAGTAGCTGAGCTTTGTGAAAGCAAGAACCATTGTGAAATATTTGACTCACTTTAGTATTTTAATAACCTGATTAAATAAAATGAAAAGTTTTTTTAAATGACATAAATTAAAGCAAAGAATCAGCATCTCACTTTGTGGTCAGAGCAGTGTTTAAACCTTGCTTTCATGCATAACTGTCAGTACAGGCAAAGAAGCAAACCAATCAATAGGTCCTTACACATTTTTCTATACTTTCTATGAAAAACCAATGAATTAAATTAATAAATGTATGAATTAATTGAATGCCTTTTAAGTACTATATGCATTTAAGTCACAACATTATATAAAACGTAATGATAAAAATGTGGGCATAAACCTACAGTATTTAGTTTCATGTTCAGAATTAAGCTTAATATGTGTTTTAAAAAGGATTTCCAAAAGTCATCTAATTCTGTTTCACAGTTTGTAGATGCCTTGACCTTTATTAAACCCAGCACATAGTATGCGAATCAAGTCCAATGCCAGGTTTATGTACTGTACCTTCTCGAAGAGCTCCTGATTTGTTCTGATGAGGTGCTGTTTTTCTTCCACCCATTTGGAGTCCTGTTATCAGAGTGCAAGTATCAATTAGAACAAAACAAAAAACGAAGCAGTATTATAAAGAAAGATGACTCAATGCTGTTGATTATGGTACTGTACATCATACTAACTCACTGGCAATACTAGTAACAAAATTTACATTTTGGACAATGACAGAAAAATATTGTTTGGTTAAAAATATCATTAAGATAATAACAAATCACTGCACCTCCAGCAAACCAGAAGCAGACCTCTGATTTACAGTAAACATTGGCACATAAAAATAAGCAGCCCAGTAAAAAACAAATCCAGCGGACAAATAGCATGAAACTGAAACATAAAACCTTTATCACAAGAATGACAAATATATACTAGACTAGAGATGACCCTCCATTAGTAATATGCATTTCACTGAAGTAGAATCTGACAAAATAACATTATACAAGTCATATAAATCTAAAAATTAAACTTTATTTTGCAAAAGGGAAGGTAGGCATAAATATGAAATAGTTACACTGCAAAGTAGGTATTTTTCAAAGGTATTGCTCACATTTCCAACAGCTGTCATTAATTGATTAATTTAAACGCACTTATTTGTTACTCCGATACCATATACAATTTTCCTTGTAAAAAAAAAAACTTGCAGTATGCATTTCCTGGAGCACAGCTCAAATAAAGCCTATGCTAATGAAGATATTACTAGATTTTTCAAATGAGGAGAAAAAGGATTTTATGAACAAATAGCCACATCCTAATATGTCAACTAAAGTGTACAAATTAGTTATTTGTAGTGTTAAAGATTTGGGTGTTTCCTTTTTATTATTAATGAAAAAGATTCTGCAGACTCAATGCAGATTTTTAAAAAGTTAAACTTGTACTATTTAGTATGATTTACTTTTGTACTATTGTATTAATTTAAGAGGTGTTTAAATAAAATACACTGGATACATTTCAAACAGAAATTTTAACTTGGTTATTTCCTTTATTACAAATATCTAAGTCACTAGCTTAGAACAAATGTACTGTTCAGCCCCACCTTTCTGGGAGAAAATACAAAAGCATTCTGGATGAATTATTACAAATAGTTCACACAGCGGTTTTGAAATAAGCAGTACCCTTTAAATTGGCACTGTGATTAACCCATCTATAAGATATGCAGTTTTACATTATGTGTTAGTTTTTAGTTATCAACTCACATCTCAGCCGTTTATTAAACCAATGCAAGTTAACAAATATTTAATAATCCAGCTGTACTAAAAACCTTTGTGAAAGATGTATTGAGAACTAAGAGAATAATCTACTAAAAAAATGCTGTATTCTTTCATCTGGAGATAAATGATGCAGATATGGATATGTGACATGGTGAGCAGTACTTGAAAATGCACCAAGAAAACAACTGGACCATTGAAATCCACTGCAATTTAAACCACTATCAGCTTAGGGCCTTGATGAAATGGTTTAACCTTTTAAAACATGCAATATGTTTGGTCACAATTTACTTATGTATTTCATATTAACACAGGGTGAATCTCATAAGAATCATAGACCATTACAGACATAAAGTATACAGTACTGTAGACATTACAACTTCATTACAGTTGACCAGATGTGTACAATTCGTTTGTTTCTTGTAAGCTTCTGTGCGCTATACAGAATACAATAGCTGTATTCTAATCTGTCAAATGTATGTCTATATATCTTTTACAGACATCACAATATGTGCCATAGGTAATTGCAGACAACTGTCCACTGAAAAATAAGAAAAAAATGGCTTCCAAAGAAAATTCACACAATCACCGTTCCATCTGGACTTTTTGAAAACAGCCACTTTCTGTTCACAAAAATGGAATGGTCTCAGATGTGGTGCAGTAATCGATACTGAAATGGATCAAAGAGCAGGATGACAGATGATGTCAGCAAAATGCCAAGCAAAACAGAAAACTGTAATGACAAGACAGAACAAGGCAACGGAGATCTTAGCAAGCAGTTTATTTCCAGATCCTTTTACCTGCCCCCTCTCTGCCAGGGATTTCTCAAGGTCTTCAATTTTCCCCTGGTATCTTATTAGATCTGCATGCAGCTGCTCACGGGTCTGTGGAGACACAATAGCACGTCAATTAGCCTGCAGCTTTACTAATTAAGGTTTACAAACCTTCCTCCTCATGTAAGCACAAAGGTTATGTATAATAGGTCCTTAAAGCACAGAACATAACTAAAAGGTGAAGACCTGGAACGCAACAAAAAATCTCCAACTGGGAAACTTAATCTTATTCAAAGTAACGTCCTGCTGAGATGCAGATTGGTAAAAATGACTGCAATTTAAATATCAAAGAAAGGCCCAGAGAGCAAAATCCACATTTTGAAAAGAAATACTGACAGGCTTCTGAAGCAATGATTCTATTCCTTCAGTGTTCAAATGATCATCTTGTGCTCAAAACAGAATCTTATTATGAAACGTCTTTCCACATTATATATGCTACAAATTGAAAATGCCATGTGTTGTCTTTGACCCAAATATTGCGGTATGGAACAAAAATTCCAAAAGGGTTCAAATAATTTCACTTCAACATTTTCCCAAATGTTAAATATGCCTGGAAAAAAATGGGAGAGGTTGAGAAGAATTCAAACAAAGACTTGGTCGTTTTGAGGATGTTTAAAATAACAATCTTACACAACATGGTCAAATGTAAGAAAAAGCCTTGCTCAGAAATACTACTTCAACAAAGTTAAATGGGATACAGATTTCAAGTGAGACAGAGATTGAAAAATCAGATAAAGGCACTTAGCCGCTTGATAATATTCCTTCTGTCCATTAGCACTTACCCTTGCTTCCCTCTCAGCATCCAGAGTCCCTCCCACCTGTTCCTGAAGGAGAGCGTAGGCCCTCTGGAGAGCCTGGTACTCTCGTGTCAGCTGCCTGAACCGCAGCTCAGACTCTTCTCTGGAAATTCCCTAGGAATCAAGCACAAAACCACCCGCCCTGTC